GTTTGTGGCTTTAACGGTCTTGTCTACCCAACTCTTAAGCTGTGAAACACTTGTACATCCAAAGTACGAGGTACTGAAAAGAGACTGTCCCCCCCCCCAGTAAGTCAGCAGCAATTTTAGAACAACGCAAATATCCGGGGTTTGATTCCCTAGGTGAACAGCACTCGGATAGCCTATTGTGTGGTTTTGCACTAAAACTAACAACCAAACATACTGAAAGAAACTGACAACATGTCGCTTGTTTTATGATTGGTAAAACTAGCAATCGTGTTAAATTAAGAGACGTGTTATGCAGCTTGTAGAAACGTAAATATTTTGATTGCGTTAAGTGTATCTTCTTTTAATCGTGAGGGAGAAAATTGTGTTAATTATGGTGCTGTGATCAGTTCGTGTTACGTTTTCCAACGATTTCAATAAGTTTCAAGGTACTGGCTCATTAGTGCATAGTACTTTATACGTTGGTATGATAACACAGTTACTCTTCCTTATATACACAGGAACTAGTGTTTTACGGTCGCTGCATACATGTACTCAGCTTTTAGATAGTTTTCAATTAATTCGATAAAATTAGAGGGTGTTATCGAATTAGAATTTACTAGCCACAAGTACGTTTACAGTCGACCATGCACATAATGGTCTTTATTTTGGCTAAGTTCTAACGAGTTGGTAGGCCTAGTCTATGTTGTTACATAATACTACTTAGTCGATAGACGACGTGATAGTTAGTAAATGCCTACCATTTTGGCTTAGTTCTGATGAGTAAGCTTAGTTTACCTTATTTTTGTATTATTAGTAATACAGCTACATTTACCATTCTAGCTATTTTATTTTATCACGTAAGGAAGAGATTTGTATCGTGCAAGAACTTGATTGTATTTCAGCCTTGTATTTGTAACTACCATTGTATCAATTTGTAAATAATTAGAACGTTTCTTAGTAATGTAAAATCTTTTACTTTGTATAAAAATATTTTTATTTGAGAAACCAAACCGTTGTAGTAATTAAAAAAAAAATGTATTATGGGAAATTAACTTTTCAGGCATTTAACGTGTATTAAGTAATTTATTTGGACTATACCACGTTATTTTAGTTTTTTTAAACGCACAAGATTTCGACTCAATTATCTAAGCCTGTAGAAGGCTTAGGTAATTGAGCCGAAAGCTTGTGCATTAAAAATACAACAATAAAAAACGTGGTGATAGTCCAAATAAGTTACTTAATACAAATGGGATATCTATCTGATGCAATTTGTTAAATAGACCATAAAAAATCCCTTTCTTGACTATCTTAAAACAAGTTTATCAGAAAATATCCAGAAGACGTTTTAGAAATAAACAAATATTTACGGAAGGATTAATAGGTTATAACAGTTAATGTCTAAAAATATCTTTCAAAATTAAGCAATATTATAATTAGTGAGTAAGTTTTACTCTGAATTTATACTGCTTGGTCATTGAATAGAGAACTCATCTAGTGAATGGATATATCACAAACATTTAAAACTATAATTAATAGCTAATCTTACTACATTCGTTAACTCCAACATTCATACATTTGTCACTAATAAGTTACAGAAGCTTCCATCACATGGTTTAAGGGAACGAAATATCACACATTTTTGGAGTTTATTGTATAAAATTCGGAACGTGAATTAATGAAGAATTAGATAATATACCACAACTTGTGTTTTATGACCCGTCAAAGTTAGCAACTGTCAAAAGTGATGAAAAATCCCAGTGTATTATTTAAATGTTTTTAATGGTAGTAAAATTAAAGTTAAAATAGTTTATCAAGTGATTGGATTGAGTGTATTGGAAAATAACCCATAAATATGATAAATCAAACTTGAAGAATAAGTAAAACTAGTTGTATCTTTTCTCAAATATGCATTATGTAATAGGCATAACATACTTTTATGATAAAGATATTTTTGCGTTGTAAGCTTAAAATCTGTATTTAGGTCTAACCTAAATCTCATAAGCTTGCCGAACCTTGTGAGATGTTATTGGGATTACGGCCAGAAATATCGTTAGCAGTGATAATACCCAATTGGTGAAACACTGTATTCTCATCTTTATAACTATATTTAATTACCTATACTGATTCTATGTTGATTTGTAATTTCGCTGTAAGTATATATTTTACATTGATGAAAGTTTATATTAATCATAATAAAAACCACGTGGACTACAGATTATTTCACATTCCTTTCAAGGCCGAACATGACTCAATGTATCTGAAGTTCCGTTGTTTGCATCCTGTTATTGTCCAAACAATTGTGCTCCGTTATATGAGTGACAGTTAAATCTGTTTAACAAGAGTTGATGGCTGTGGTTGGTGTTGATTATCCGCTTTCTTTCTGTTCTATCACACCTCTCTTAACAGTTTCATTTCGATTTCAGGTTAGAGGTGTGTAAAATAGTTTGTCTGTCACAAGTCGTTGCTTGCGAGGCTTTTCGCTACTATCAGAAGTCATCATCTGGTCTGTAGGGTGATACAAAAATGTTTATGTGCGGTACAGTTGTTTTGAAAGCTACTGTTTGAACTCCACAAACTGGCGAAGTAAAAAAAAAACATTTGGGCATAATATTTGTGAAACAATTCACATAAGCTCGTTATCTATTTTTCATACATTACGTTAGATTTATCCAATATCGATTGCAAAGCAGAGATTCATAAAAAATATCACTTCAGATCTATCATTTATTTGCCACAAGGGGGCCTTTCGTTTAACACCAAAAACTCATCGCTGGTGTAACGAAACCTTGACTTCTGTGTAGGAGGCCCCCCAGTGGCATGTCTGCGGACTCACAACGCTAGAAATTGGGTTTCGATACACGTGGTGGGCAGAGCACAGATAGCCCATTGTGTAGCTTTGTGCTAAACTCCAAACAAACAAAAATCTGTGTAGGAGAGGAATCTCACGTTTGTCAATTTGCTGTTTCTCGTAAAGGATTTTTTGCAAGAAATTACAGAAAATGTGGGATTTCTTGTGTATTTTATGTAATCAGAAATATATATATCGGGTTCGATGACGAGGAACCCACTTTGAGACTAATAATGGCTGGAGACGGCTTGAATGGGTAAT